TCTTCTACATCGTTGTGACATTTTGGTGAGCTGCTTTGCATGGTGATATAAACAGACGAAGTAATTGTAGTCATTAGTTTAACAGCGAGATTGTGTTCGCTGGAAGAATATATATTCCCCGTTTACAGAGTCCAAGTCTTGTTTGTGGCACGGGGGTTACAAGGCGAGGAAGAGGGAGAGGAAGAGGGCGAGGAAGAGGGCAGAGAGGCCGGGGTGGGCGTGCAGCCAGGGCAAGGCGAGGGAGAGGTGCCAGCGGGGTGACTAGAGCAGAGGAGGAAAGGCTTGAAGATCTCCAAAGGAGCCGGAGAGAAGTAACCGAGGTATATATCCATAAAATTATTTTACAGAAAATTACTGAATCATTACCTGTGAAACGTCAGGGACGTTGCTGAATAAGTATACTGGAGAGTAACAGCATCATCACGTAGCATGTTATTGTAATGGGCGATCTCGCAATCGCTAGTTTGTTGGCTCTGCGCTGCCGTAGCGCAAAGATGTCTGCCTCCATGGCTGCGAGACCAGCTCCTATGTAATTATAACTAACGAATTCTAAGGCAACGCAAATATTAAGGTCCCTGTAATTATTACACACTGTAGCTTTAAACTCTATGTTTTGTCAAATTTATTGTCTTATAATACTATTCTGTTTAGCATAAACACTCCGTTGCTGTTGATTTTTTTTAAAGCCGTGCATGTCTAAAGGCTTTTTCGGTGGCATCTCTTTTTTTTTGTTCTTAACCAACCTGTCTAGTAACTTTTAGTTCAAAATAAAACTCAAAGTAGCTGCCGGTTTAAATTTACTGCTACCATGTGTTGTCTCTTCTCCGATCACTACAGCATACACAGTGAATAACCACCGCCAATCATATAGTCTAATTTATCAAAGAGACAGATTCAGAGCCGTTAGTAAGGAGTCTGACCTGCAGGGCTCTGGACAGATCTAGCGATGTCACATTGGTGGAAACGTTTTAGAAAGAGAGAAAAAACTTTGACTGAAAACGCTCTGAACACAGACAGCTGCGCTGCTCCCAACTTTCTGTTGGCTAAATTACATGAAAGGGGAACAAAAGGACAAATTATTGGTGGGGACTGTCCCCACCAGGATAAAATTGGTAAGACGTGTCCAAATCAGTACTTCAGAAAAGTACGCCAGTGATATTTTTACATGAATAATTGATCAATTGTTGAACACATTTCTCCTTTTTGTTATTTTGTCGGATTCAATGGCACACAAATTCATATTATTAGATAATTTTGCAAGCAATTTTACATTATTGAGTCCTTCATTTATTTCCGTATGCATTTTTAATTGTGGCGGGATTGGTCTTCCATAGAGTGGGACAGATATGTGTAATACCACAGGCAAATGTCAGATTTGACAATAATAGAGTGACAGCCAAGTGGAAAAAACTGTTTAGTTATTTAATTATTTTTTTGGGGGGGGTGTAAACTCCTAATAAACTCTCTAAGACAACTTTTGAATGAATCCTTTTTCTACTAATTTTATTATATACTAAAAACATAAAGCAATGCTTTATAATTGAATTTATGTCAATTTTTTTTTATCATTGCTATATAGAAATACCTTTGTAGATGAAGCGTTTGCTGGCATTATGGATTCCTCTTTTCAAACTTTTAGAAGTATTTTCTCCAAACTTTCCAGTACGAAAATAATGTTCCAATTCATCCAGAAACCCAAATGATGGCATCTATACAGAGGGGAGAAAATGGGGTTAGGCATAGAGAGCATAAATGTTTGAACTATAAGGCAGGAAATGTTTCACTGCAGTGTATTCGACCTATTCATTGCAAAAACACATTATTAACCTTTTTTTTTTTATATTTAAGCAAACTTCTTGCCTCAATTAATGACAAAGTAATTTTAAAAATGTACCACAAATAGCTAATAGGCTAAATAAAAATGTATCTGAGCTACTATAACCTATGCTAGCTGATGTTTCACTTTGGATGTTAGTTTAGTGCTTTAAAATAAAAAATAAAATGAAATACTCACATTATCAGCAGAGAAACTAGTCCTACCTTTGAACGTCTTTCGCAGGGTGAACAACAATCTTCATAACACCGAAACCAATTTCAGGCCAAATCCTAGTAAGGATTACATCTTTTTGAAGCCAAATCTTCCTTATCTAGTACGGTTTTCCTTTCCTTCATCGAAAAATACACTTGATGGCCCTAAAGAAAAGTGTATTAGTATTATACAGTGGATACTTTTGTCGTTTGGTTCCGTGAAGACTTTAGGTTAGCAATGGTCATCGGGTAACTTCCGGTTGGATAATTTCCAAAATAAAAGTCGTGACAACACTGTTAGTGTTGTTATATATATTAATATATGTTGGCCAAAAAAAAAAAAAATAATAATAATAATAATAAATATATATATATAAATAGTATTAAAAAAATGTTACATTTTATAATTGTAAATTTATAGTCAAATGTTGATATTACTGTTTTTATATATTTTTACTATTTTTCAAGGCTGCCCTGAAAAAAAATGAAATCGTCCAGAGAGCTTTTTGTTTTACACTTGTATAAACAAAATGACAAATAAATCTAAATAAAAAAAAAAAATATATATATATATATACAATATAATATACTATATAAAAATGTATATGATATATAATTTTTTTTTATCAGTATAATTGCTTTTCAGATTGGATAACACAGGAAGAGAGGAAGAGAGAGAGAGGAGATGATTGTTTGGCCAAATAGCCTCAGGAAAACCCCTAAAACCAAAAATGTCATAACCGGTTCATTTTATAATTGACATCCCTTTCTTGTCTTTCTCTTTTAAACTACAATAGGCCTATGAGACATACAGCAGATAACACTAAATTACAAAGATTTAAAAAAAAAGCAGACCATTTGCATACAATTGGGTTTAGAATTATGTAGACCTCTGATTGGAGATAATACATTTTAAGATGCTTTTATTCCTGATTGTAAAAGTATTCAAATTTAGAGGACGGGCAAACTTACTAACTTGGATTGTTAGGATAGGAAGGAATCATAAAGGACATGTATATTTCTTCATAAAAAATTTAAAACAATCCAACGCAGGGGATCAATATCCAGGCTGCTGCAAACTCATGTACAGTAGGCAGGGGTATTCACCTTAAAGCTACTTGCGATCCACCATAATAGAAAAGAAGAATAAGAATTCCTTACTTGAATTTGAGGCTGAATATATATCAATTTTTTTTTTTTATTTCACTTAAAGTCATCAATAATATATAAAATATACCAATACACAAACAACTATGCCAGGGGGTATGTCACAATAAACAAGTACAGTCAGGAGGAAAGACAAACTGACCAACATATGTGCTTAGGAGTGTCATATACGTATGTATGTAAACACATATTCATACATATATTCTACAAACCTTCTACAGCATTAAATTGCCCAGAATTTTTGTTTGGAACAGATTGATATGTTTTTTGTGCCTTTTGGTGAGAGTAAGGTTTATAGGTTAGAAAATAATGCTTAAGTTCAATTAAATAAACATTAACGTCTGGCTTTTTTAAAAATTTAAATTCATGGAAATGAAATTTAGCCAAGATAATTAAGAGATTGATAAGAAAAGGTTCAGGAAACATTTTACTTTGGAAACAACCTAAACAAATGTGTAACAGATTCTGGAAGAAGATAACAAAAAGTGCAGTTCACAGTAATATCAGATTTGAACTTTTTAAGGTAGTCTTTGGCTAAATAAATCCTGTGAATGAATTTCAATGAAACTTACTTCACCTTGTTAGTGAGGAGAAAGTGGTTAGGTAAAAGCCAAGTATGTTTCCAGGACACAGCAGCTATAAAACAGTTCCATAACGGTACAACAGTAGGAACAGATGCCACCTCTCTCCAAAAGAGGGATCTGATTGACTTATTGTTCTTACTAAGAGATAAGGGGAGACATATTTTGCCATCAGGAGTGTCCATGGGAGTCAGAGAAGAAGATGAAGAAGAACTGAGTCTTGGCCTCTTTCTGAATAACATGCAAATCCCAGTTGAAATAGCACCAAAAACCTTTGTGTATTCTCTAGAGGAATTAGGAAGTTCACCAGATCATACAGTCAAATTGATTCAAAGTAATTTCCCTCTGGGATTATTAAAGTATTTCTGATTCTGATCTGATTCAAAGTGTTCTACCAAAGGAAAACCAGTTGATTGCATGGGCTCATTGACCCGAAGACTCCAGCAGAACCAAACTCATTGCAAACCGTCATCGGCCACACTTTTATTGGTTTGAGAAGACATTTACAGATGTTATTTGAGAGTTAGGATTCAAGTAAACTAGGGTTGCAACAAAGAAGGGAATAATCAGATTTATATACATTTAAT